CAGACCCACACAGACCCACACAGACCCACACAGACCCACACAGACCCACACAGACCCACACAGACCCACACAGACCCACACAGACAGGGCCAGCTGTCCCAGAAGCCCAGTTTGTCTTTGGACAGTGGGAAGAAGCCAGAGCACCCAGAGGAAACCCCCCACAAAAACAGTGAAACAATTGAAAATATCAACCCTCATGGACCAGAGGTCTCTTAATCCAGCACATTGTTATTCACTTGATGAATAACGACCAAGTATTCCCAGTCTTTATGAACAGGTGACTTAGGCTGAAATGTAAAAAACGTACTGCACTGGTGCTGCTAGACTTGGACACTACTGCCCACCGTCCAGCAACTGTACATTTGAAAGACTGGCTGGGGTTAAAATTGACAACTACACAACTATAATGGGGCTCCTTGAGAGAACTTTTTTTTTTTGGGTGGTTCAGAAAAGCTAACATCATGAACCTGGTAAGAAATAAATTCCAATAAATGTGTATTTGAATCTCACTATTCAAACATGAATCCTCCGCATGCACACAAATCCAAATGCATGTCATCATCATCCCTCATAATATATCTCCACCCCCAGAAACCCGTCTTGCTTCGTTATTAATATTTAAAACTGTAATAACAAAGACAACGGAAAGCATGACCCTTAGGGCATCTGACACAATCTGCTATGGCAAATTAAAAGGTACAAAAATCGGGTCGGGGAGCCTTTTAGGAAGATTGCACACTTCAAAGCATAAGAACCCACAGTGTGACCCAGAACACCACAGATATCTCAGGTCATAAATAAATAAAAGCTGGCAGGGACTCCATAATTCATTTTTAATGACAGATTGCGAAGCCTTGATATTTCAAAAGGGATAATATATTATAGATGAATCAAAAGACTGACACACTTTGCTATTGCTGTGATGTGCACCTAAAAGGGAAAACTAGAAAGTTCAAGCTGGGAATCAGATTAAATTCAGGAATACGGGTGTCATTTCAGCATCGTACAGAACAGGAGCCGAACGGGGTGAATGGGAAAAACCACAGACCAACCTCCCCGAAACTCTAAATCTTTACCAGATTCCTGACATATAATAATAGAAGCCCTCCTGCTCACTGTGCTTTGCAAATCTAACCTTACTGAAAAAATATCTAACATCTCAGCCCTCCCGGGAGAAAGCTACACTGGCCGTAGAAAGAACTGCAAAGCTTAGCAGGAATGCTTCTGCTCTAACTTATCACTCGCGGTCTCCTGACCTTTGTCAAAAGAATGGATCAAGCGGGAGAATTCAAGCAGTTTCCCCGTTTTTCCATTCCTATTCTGCTGCAGAAATGACTCCTGTATTCCGGGAAAACACGGAGGCTGTGCCCGAGAACGGGGGGGGCTCACTTGGTCAGTTCGTGGTCTGACAGCAGCTGCTTGAGGTGCCTCGAGAGCAGCTTCTTCTCCATAGAGAGTCGCACCCAGGCCCTGGCCTTGCCCACATCGGTTTTGATCTCGCCGATATTCTGGATGTGCCTGGGAGGGGGAAAGGCATTCAGACAGGAGCTAATCCATCAGAGTCTGCTTAATACAACTGTCAGCTCTGGCTGGGCCTTGTAGGGCGTTCATGCTGAAATCTAGGTCACTCACAGAGAACAGTGGGCTCAGCCCAGCTCTGACAAGGGCTTTTACACACAGGTGCTAACGGAGCAGGAGAGACACCAGCTAGCTATATACTAGGCTAGTGATTTCCAACACCTATTTGGAGTTAGTATTTTGTTGACAAAAGAATGGTAAAAAATCAGGTTAGTAGAGAATTCACAACAACATTAACCCCCCTTCAGTGGTCAGACAGACTCTGCTTTACTTCTCTGTCCGTAAACATTTTCCTGTTGACTGCCTAAGTGCCACGCCTAATCCACTGTCACAGAACTCAACCCATTTCCTGAAAGTGCTTTCCCCAGAGGCTTTCCATTCGTCCAAATAAAAAGGGAAAAAAATGACATACTGTATACGCGACACAACGTCAAGTTATCAGCACAGATTTATGTCAACCCCCTGAGTATTTCTTTGTATGCACATTTATCACTTGAATATTTACTGAACCTACTGAGAGGAATGTCATAATTCACATGCTAAACACGCTGAATGATGAAGATGGAGCAAAAAAAAAACATTCCTCTACACTGAACACTGTTTAACTGCTTTTCAGCACTAAACTACAGGGAAAGAAAAAAAATGTAGCTCTTAAATGAGCGTGTAAGTTATCAATAGAAATAGTGATAAGCAAATATCTGCTTAGAGCAGATGCTGGAATTGGTGAAGAACTGGTCAACACTCTCCGTGTCCAGTGAGATCTATATTACCCACATTGCTTTCGCTGGGAGACATTTTTATCACTGCATAATCTGGAGACTGAGAAGCGACTACTACTGTCTGACTCACCGTCTCCATAACATCCTTTACAGCACGGTCATGTTAGGCTGTGGAGGACCTCCGAGAGCTATGGATTGGGTGGGAATATTACAGCCCAGCCCCGACTGAGACAGACACTTACAGGCACTGCTCACTAAACCCTGCGGGGAGCTGGTTAATTAGGCTGGAAGTAACACAGTCAGATGACTTGGCTTTTTACTTCCTTCATGCAAGTGAGGAAATTCACCCTTGACTCAACAGTGCCTCCTCCAACCTTCATCATGCCTGTCTCTTCTTGTTTAATGTCCTTTTTCTAGCAAGGCTCCAGCGTTCAGGAACAGGTCAACTTCTCCTCTACACTACACAATCAGAATACAAATCTTTTCTTTCTTTTTGTAAGATCAGCAGAATTTTTCTAAAGAATCCGCTTTGGGGAATTAATTTAGAATCAATCCTCTGCACTTGATTACTTTGTAATGTGTTTGGAAGTAGTGCTGGACTGCAATCGAAATAGCTTTTTTTCTTGCTTTTTTCTTAATATTTTACATTTCTGGTAAATACATGAAACAGTATCAGTCTAATAAAACACAGCAATCTTAAAATGGACAAAATTGGAGATGACACATTAAAATAATTGAAAATGGAGTTTAAGAATTTGTAAAAATTAGATTACGGAACGGTACATGATCAATGGCTTTTCATTTACACAATGAAGGCAACTTCAGGTCAAAATGGCTGAAGTGCTATATCTGAGAGCAACACACAAATTTCTCATATAATCGCAGAGCAACTATAACAGCAAGAAAGAAATAAAGCTGCAACCAGCAAAGACCAGCAGTGACCTAGCTGACTTACCTATTTTAGTGGGCAAGCACAGGTTTAGTTAGAACATGCATGACTTCCTGTATATGTTCCAAAATAACCCTGACTCTACGTGCACTTTTTAAATTATAAGACAAATTCGCCTCTGACCTTTAGGAAAGGTCAGGGGTCATGGGTAATGTAGATTTTTGCTAGAGCACATAAGGGATTCTATTTGTGGTCCCTTGTAACAGTTTAATGTAAGGACTTCTGGACCTAGTGTAGTGAGTGTTATCTTGTGAGGGAATGTGTCCTAGATCACCTTCCAATTTTCCAAAGCAAGTTTCATTGCAATTGGCCAAATACTTTCAACAATAAGCCCAACACTAAAAATATACTTCCAGCAATTTGACTGTCCTGCTAAAAACCATCTGCGTCAACTCTTCAAGATGGGGAAAAAGCCAAAAAGCTATAAAAGTCCATTTTATTATCTTAAACTTGTCAGAAGATGGCAGTAAAGAGTACATATTGCAGGAATGCAGCTAAGTTGTTTTCTACAATAAAACAACTATAAAATAGAGCTTCTATTGAACTATACATTACATTGAAATTTAACCTATTCTTCTCATGTCATTAAACAACTTATTGATAAAATAATTAATAAAACATAATATTAAATTGGTTGTGGTGCAAAAATATTCAATTGCATTCAACATCCAATTCCTTGACACCATTTTTGCCTTGAACGTGTAATGTGTAAACGACACTGTAATAATCACATCATGTTCAGAAGATGGTGAAATAGCTGGAAGAAAAAAATATTTTGTTTTATTTAATTTCAAAAGGAAACAATAAAGATTAATTTTATTATTGGGGTTGGTATATAGATTTCCCTTTAAGATTGGGTCTGTGAGTGTTTCTACACTATCATAGCACAAATAAGCAGCTTAAATGACTTCAATATTTAAATAAATATATAGGTCTTTAGCACTTATAGCTATTGTTATGGTATCAGTATCCGTTTAGTCTCTACCCCCAACAATATTCTCCAGTAGATCTTGAATTTTAAGTCTGAAAAGTGAATTGATGAGGCATCTCATCATGGATCAATCTTTGTTCCAGAACGTTCCCAACATTCTACCCGCCAGTGGCCAACTGAGAAAATTCACCTCATGTCCTGGATGAGCGAAACTTTCAGAGGAGGCATGACAGGCCCGGTGTCCGACTTCCTTCTCTCTGTGTCCTGGATGAAGCCTGTAAAACACAACAGCAGGAGCTATGTGACAGGAGCATCTGCCAGGGTTCAACAAGGCAGACAGCCATTTTACACTTTCACAAGAGCGAGTTACCATTACACTGGGCTCACAAGGTCAAAAGCACCTTGGAAGTACTGCTGCATCTGTAACATGAGTCAGCAAATGACTTCTGCTTGGAGGATCGTAAAACACAGTTTAAAAGATGTCTTGTACTTTTTCAAAGAACAACTGAAAAACCATCGCTTTGATGTTGCAGACATACTATTACTAATAAATAGAGCAGAAAAGATGTTTCGTCATCACTTACAGAGATTTCACACTTTTTCATCGTTTTTTTTTAACTAGTACAAAATGACATTTGCTAAAACACAGTCCTTTCAATGCAAATGGCTTCTGTTAAGTTCACTTAAACCCAACACATAAAAATTCCACAGGACGAAATCTAACACTACATAATTAGAATTTACTGGACTCTTAACCTATTAAATGTGAGCTTTCATTTTTTAAACAAACTTTTAGCAATACTTAACCACAGATCAGACGTAATTCATATGTGCGGCATTTTTCTGGCTTAACCTTATTAATACAAAGAGGCTTTTTTAGAATTTGGAGTAAATTCATTATGTACTGCATATAAAAAAAAAAACATTCAAAACTTATTGTATTTTCCTCATTCTTCTGGCGTAATTACCTCGCTTCTGTTCAACTGGTTTGTTAGGATCATTACTGCCATTCTCAACAAAGTGTCAAAAGCCTATTTGGAGTACAAATGGAGGACTAGGCTTGTCTTACCTGGAGCACCCAAACTTCCAGGTGTAGCATCTTTTTTCTCCTTGCTCTCTTGATAGTGTAACATGTGAGACCACAATGCAGATTTACCCTAGGAGAAAAAAAAATATAGATCAATAACTTCTCTCAGAAAGTATATAATCTTTTTAAAACACTTACCAAGCAATTGAGATCTGAGACACTATGATGTACCAATCTGACTAATTGGCTTCAAGGAATTAGTTCACAGAAAAGGCAGCTTAGGGTAAACCTGAATGAGCTTGCAGAATCCCATTGAAGTCATAAAAGGTTTTAAAAACTCACCGCATTCAAATCATAATTAGTAATTATATGACTCCTTGTATTACAAGCCATTCACGTTAACAGAAACAAAGCACGTGTGGGAATCCCATTGATGTAGTGGGATGCTGTCATCACTTCTAAAGATATCTTTTCAAATGTCGTTCTCAACTTGACTGCACGAGAATTTTTCCACCATGGTCTACTTAGCTGTCTCAGAAAACTGCTTTTTTTATTATTATTAATTTCTTAGAGCCCAACCTTACAGTTTAAGACCCTGAAGTCTAAAGGCCAAAGCCCTATCCACTCCTCCAAACTGCCACCTTTCATTCACTCAGAGACAATCCTGTTAAAAGCACGCTATATACAAAACTTAAAATATAAAAATATTCTATTGCAATCAGTGTGGTATACTGATATTATTACAAAATCTAAGTCTTAAACATTTTGCTATAGCTCTGTATTCTGTAGCACATTAGAATATCCTGTTGTGCTGCATCTCACAGTGGCACAACCTAGTATCACATACTGTTAAATAGCGTAGTGTGATACTGAAGTATACTATAGGACAAGCGATTACTATAGTATGCTCTATAGTATTGTATTTTTGAGAAAGGACACAGGAGATGGCCATACCACTTAAAAGATACATGACATGTACTGACAACAGCATTACAGCACTAGAGCCTGATCCTCGAAGCTAAGCAAGATGGGGGCCTGGTCAGTACTGGGATGGGAGACCTGTAAGTATTGCCAGGTTTCTAATGCAGGTGGTGCCATTGGACCAGTAAGTGCCTCTCTTCTCAAGCCCGATCCCCCAGCGTAGTGATGGGGAACCTATACTGTACTGGGGTGTCATTCTTTGGATGAGGCAGTAAGGTGAGGTCCTCGTTACTGGTTGTTGAAGATCCCATGACACCACTCGCAAGAGCAGGGGTCTTTTCCTTATGTATCTTGGTTAATTAAATAGCACTTTGGGCTTGCTCAATATGCCCTCCATAAATTCCCTCTTCACGCCACTGACAAAATGATTTCTCCCTTGCCCATCTGACCCCCCATCAGGCTGTGTCATGGCTGCCTCTGGGCACCAAGGTGGGATCAGCTCCTCTACAGGTGGATGAGGGGCACCTCCTCCCGGGTCTGAAGTTCTCCCCGGGGAACCGGGCCGGGCAGCGCTGCACAAGCGGCAGGAGCGGCCGCGGACCCCGCCCCCGCCCCCCCCGGGGCCCCCGCTTGCCTTACCTGCTTGACCTGCAGGCCGTGGCTCCAGATCCTCTCCAGCAGGTCGCACAGGCTGGCGATGAGCGTGTTCTCCTCCACGCCGGTGATGCTGACCTCCCCGTGGCCCAGCTCCACCGCCTCGCGGCCCATCTTCTCCACCAGCATCCGCTTGGTCTGCGACACAGGGCCGGGGCTTCACACAGCGGCACGGGCCGGGGCCCGCGGGCCTCCCCAGAACCACGCGACACCCCCCCACCCCCCAAGCCCCCGCTTCAAACTGTCCCGAAAAGGTGCAAAAGAAGAAACTCACACGTGCGCTGTAGTTTTGTTTTTGTAGGGTTGTTGATATTCTCCTCAGAGAGCAACTCTGATCTTTAAGGAAGTACGTCATTACAGTAACAGTACTGTAGATTTACAGTTCTTTCACGCAGGCTATTTATTACACCTACATATGGAAATGGGGGTTTTATTATCCCAAATCCCATATATAAACTACAATTGCCACTCGTTGACCTTAAATTGGACTATTTTTAACAAGAGTTGTGTTCTGAAGTACTTTTGTTATAAAAATAAAAATTCCCTTTTCCAATACCTTGTTTCTACATTCCTTCAGCAGCCCCTCCACAAATTTCCAGTTGGTCTGGGCGATCACAGACGGAGAGAGATTGGACAGCTTGGGCTGGCGAATCGTCGTGCCTAGGTTCCTGGCCTCCTGAATGTACTTCTGCAGTGAGGGAGTTAACACAGAGAGCGCAGGCTTCGGTGTGAACACTGCTATTCAACACGGACGTGTAGCTACAGGAGCTTGCTAACTCAAGACAGTAACACATGAAGGATCAGAACTACAGCCTTGGACAAGTACCCAGACCAGAAAGGATATGTTTTGGACATGTGTGTGAAACTGGGAGTCTTTTTTAGAGATCTGGAGTCCTTTAAAAGCATAACAAACATATAAAATTAAAACCTGACAGGATTTTATGGGTTAGTTGTAGATAATCACGCTAAATAATCAACAAAACAAAGGGGCAACCAGACAACTTTCTGTCAAGTTCAAGAACAGAAGAGCCAAAGTGAAAAATATCTCCAATAGACCAAAACAAAAAACACGAATAAACTTAAATTTTAGTGTTTTGTTTGCTAATGCTTAACAACTGACCATGGTTTAACTAAAAATGTTTTAAAGTATCATTCTACATTTGTCTAAATACAAAAGCTATGTTATCTTACATCTTGAGAAAAACACTGTTGTTTTGAAAAATGACTAGCATTTCTCAAGATCTTAACATTTTGAGGTGTGGTAAAGGAAATAAGGTATAAGGAAAGTTAATTTTGTAACTAAAGTACCGTTTGCCAAGGCGCAGGAAAACGAAGGGAAATATAGGGAGACGACGGGAACATGCAGTTTTGATTTGGGCTCATCAACAATGCATGTCCTTCTCAAGACATACCAGATCAACCTCTGACACAGACTTTACAGAGGGCCTGTGGGACGGCTCGTGCCAGCCCCAGTCTAGAGACAACAGGCACTGCACTTCTGGCCAGAG